AAAAAAATTATTGTTTGGCTAGACTTTATTTTTGCAAGCAAAAGAAGTTAGTTTTAAGTAATTTTTTAGCAAAATATTTAAAAAAATAGAAAGAAAAATGAAAAAAAACTATAAATAGTCATGGGAATGCTAATTCATTTCTTGAATTTGTTGAGAGTTTATTGTATGTCTCAGCGATGATGTTGTTAATTATTATGACTTTTTCGCTATCATCCAATAATATATTAATAATCTATTATATTTTTATGTTCAAGTTTCTCAACAGCCAAGTCAAAATGAAATGTAACACTCTTCTACTAGAAAAGTATTTTTGTTAACAGTAGCTTCGAAAGTAAGTGTTCTCTCATAAATTGCCAATTATAACAAGAATTCTTATAATTGCTTTAAGTCATAACTGCTAGATGTCTTGCACACAATTATTCAAAACCACAGCTATGCACTATGCATATATTCCTTGATCATAATATAAAGTGATTTCCTTCCCTTCAATACTTCCCTAAAGTTAGAGTGTGAATGTCAAGAACTCAAAATTTTCTAAGTTGTCAGTGAAAAACAACTTATTCCAGTGATTTTGTAAATAACCACCTATTTGTTGTCCCATTTCATTGTAGATTATCTCAATTTCCCCAATTTAATTTTTTTTCTTGTACTGTGTGGTAATCCTCCCCTTTGTATAAATCCTTTAGCAATAAGTCAAGCCTCAAAAACTTGTAAGGTGCTATAAGAATGGTATTTAATTTTGTAGACACATTGCCTGCACACCGTGTCCATGACACGTCCTAGACATGGCCTGTATCCCTGCCACGTCCTGGACATGGCCTACACACCGTGTCCTAGAAACTACCTACAAATGCCTGGAAATCAGGCTGCATAGCCCCGACGTGTCCCAGACATTACCTGTACACCGTATCTAAGACATTGCATAGAAATACATGAAAATCAGGATGTGTCCCTACAACGTTCTGGACACGGCCTGTATAGAGTGTCCCAGAAATTGCCTAGAAATGTCTGAAAACCAGGCTGCATCCCTGCTGCAACCTAGATGCGTCCCGGACATCGCCTGTACACCTGTTCCAGAAATTGCCTAGAAATACCTGGAAGTCAAGATACGCCCCTGTCGCATCCTAGACAAGGCCTGCACATGGTGTCCCCGAAACTGCCTAAAATTGCTTGAAAATCAGGCTTTGTCCCTATCATGGCCATGACTCATCCCGAACATGGACTTCACACCGAGTCCCAAAATTTGCCAAGAAATGCCTGAAAATCAGGCTGCATCCCTGTCGCGGCCAGGACACGTCCTAGACATGGTCGGCACACCATGCCCACAAATTGCCTACAAATGCCTGAAAATCAGGCTGTGTCCCTACCGCGGCTAGGAGGCATCCGGAATGTGGCCTACACACCGTGGCCAAAAACTAGCCAAAAATGCCTGAAAATCAGGCTGCGTCCCTGCCGTGGCCCGGACGCATTTCGGTCATGGCCTGCACATTGTGTCCCAAAAACTGCCTAGAAATGCCTTAAAATCAGGCTGCATCTTTGATGTGTCTTGGACATGGCCTGCACACTGTGTCTCAGAAACTGCTTAGAAATGCCTGGAAATCAGGTTGCATCTTTGCCGCGGCCCTGACGCGTCCTGTATATTGCCTGCACACCCTATTAAAATGGCTTCACTTAAAATTATTTTTTCATTTTCGGCTGTAGTGTTTTTGTTATGCGTTCATTCTAAAGCAAGAGAGTTTGTAATAGATGGTGAAAATAATTTATGGGCAGTTCCATCTTCTGTTGACGAGTTCAACAAATGGGCTGAGAAAACTCATTTTCAGATTGGGGATTCTTTAGTTCTGAAGTATGATTCCAAGACTGACTCAGTGCTGGAAGTGACCAAGGAAGACTACAAAATCTACAAAAACGCAATTCCAATAAAATCACACCATGTTGGAGAAACTACAATTTCAATAGAAAAATCAGGTCTATTTTTCTTTATCAGTGGAGCTGAAGAACATTGCTAGAAGGGTCAAAAGCTAGAGGTTATGGTTATGTCCAATAAACATGGCTCCAGCAACCAATCTACAGCGCAAGCACCTTCTCCTCGTCATCATCGTCACAACTACCATGCACCGGTGCCAGCCCCGACTAATGGTGCTACTGGTTTAAAGGTGGCGGTGGGGTTTATTTGTGGCACTGCGACGGTGGGAAGTTTGGTTTCATTGTGTAGACTAATTTTATCATTCATGGGTTGTAACGTTGAGCTACATTTTATTTTTATTATTCTTTATCACGTATATATTTCCTGCTTTTAATTCAAAATTAATTGAAGAAAAACCCTAAACCCTAAGCCTTATGACCCAAAATCTACCTAGAAATGCTTGAAAATTAGACTGCGTCCCTGTCGTGGCCATGACGCGTCCCGAACTTGGCCTGCGCACCAAGTCCCAGAAATTGCCTAGAAATACCTGAAAATCAGGATGCGTCTCTATCGCGGCCAGGATGCGTCTCGAACTTGGGCAACACACCATGTCCACAAGCTACCTAGAAATGCCTGGATATCAGGCTGCATCCCCACCTGGCCAGGAGGCGTCCTGGACATAGCCTGTTCACCATCCCCAGAAACTAGCCACAATTTCCTGAAAATCAAGCTCCGTCCTTGCTGTGGCCCTAACGCATCCTTAACATGACCTGCACACGGTGACCTAGAAGCTAACGAGAAATGACTGAAAATCAGGTTGTGTCTAGGACAAGGCTTGCACACCATGCCCAAAAACTTCTCAAAAATTCTTGAAAATCAGGCTGCGGCCCTGCCACATCCTGGACATGGCCTGCACACCGTGTCCCAGAAACTACTTACTAATGCCTGGAAATTAGGCTATATCCCTGCAGTAGCCCCGACCACATCTCGAACATTGCCTGCACACCATGTCCAAGAAAATACGTAGAAATATGTGAAAATTAGGATGTGTCCATGTAGCATCCTGGACACGGCCTACACCGTGCCCCCCAAATTGCCTAGAAATGCATGGAAACCAGACTACATCCTACCGTGGCCTAGATGAGGCCCGAACATGGACTGCATTTCGAGTCCCAAAAATTACCTACAACTGCTTGGAAATCAGGCTGCGTCCCTACGGCAACTAGGACGCATCCCGGATGTGGCTTGCACACCGTGCCCAAAAACTTTCCAGAAATGCCTGAAAATCAGGTTATGTCATTGTCGCGACCGAACGTGTCCCAGTCCCTGCACACCATGTCCCAGAAAACTACCTAGAAATACCTAAAAATCCGGTTGCGTCCCTGACTTATCCTAGACATGACCTGCACATCGTATCCTAAAAACTACCTAGAAATGCCTGGAAATCAGGTTGCATCCCTACTGCGGCTCAGACGCGTCACGGACATTGCTTGCACACCATGTTAAAATTGCGTCACTCAAAAATAGTTTCTTATTTTCAACCGTCATAATTTTCCACTGTGTTCTTTCTGAAGCAAGAGAGTTTGTAGTGGGCTGTGAAAATAATTTATGGGTAGTTCCATCTTCTGTTGACGAGTTCAACAAATGGGCTAAGAAAACTCATTTTCAGACTGGGGATTCTTTAGTTCTGAAGTATAATTCCAAGACTCATTCAGTGCTGGAAGTGAACGAGGAAGACTACAAAATCTGCAACAATGCTAATCCAATAAAATCACACAATGATAGAGAAAATCAGGCAGCGTCCTTACCGTGGCCATGACACGTCTCGGACTTGGCCTGCACACCGAGTCCCAAAAATTGGATAGACGTGCTTGAAAATCAGGCGGCATCCCTGCCACGGTCAGGATGCATCCCGAATTTGGCCAGCACACCATACCCACAAATTGCCTAGAAATGCCTGAAAATCAGGCTGCGTCCCTACCTGGCTAGGGGGCGTCCCGGACATGGCCGGTACATCATGCCCAAAAACTGCCCGAAATTGCCTAAAAATTAGGTTCCGTCCCTGCCCTGGCTAGGACGCATCCCGGACATGGCCTGCACATCGTGACCCAAAAACTAACAAGAAATGCCTAAAAATCATGCTGCGTCTAGGACATGGTCTGCACACCGTGCCCAAAATCTCCCTAAAAAATGCTTGAAAATCAGGTTGTATTCCTGCTAGGTCAGGATGCGTCCCGGGCATGGCTTGTTCACCATACCCAGAAATTGCCCAAAATTACCTAAAGATCAGGCTCTGTCCCTGCCATGGCTCAAACGCGTCTTGGACATGACCTGTACACCGTGACGCAAAAACTAATGAGAAATGCTTGAAAATCGGGCTACGTCTAGGACATGGCCTGCACACCGTGCCTAAAAACTTCCCAGAAATGCCTAAAAATTAGGACCCATCCCTACCAGGCTAGGAGGCATCCCGAACATGGCCTGTATACCGTGCCTAGAAGCTGCCCAGGATTACCTGAAAATCAGGCTCTGTCCCTACCGTAGCCCGGACGTGTCACGAACATGACCTGCACACTGTGACCTAGAAACTGACAAGAAATACATAAAAATTAGGCTGCGTCTAGGACCTAGCCTGCACACTGTGCCCAAAAACATCCCAAAAATGTCTGAAAATTAGGTTGCGTCCTTTGTGTGGCCCGGATGCGTCCTGGACATGGCCTGCACATAGTGTCCCAAAAACTGCCTAGAAATGCCTAAAAATCAGAATGCGTCCCTATCGTGTCCTAGACATGGCCTGCACACCATGTCCCAAAAATTACCTCGTGTCCAAGAAACTGACTAGAAAAACGTGAAAATCAGATGTGTCCCTGCAGCATCCTAGACATGGCCAGCACATCGTGTCCTAAAAACTTCCTAAAAATGCCAGAAAATTAGGCCACGTCCCTACTGTGGCTCGAACGCATCCCGAACATGGCCTGCACATCGTGTCCCAGAAACTGCCCAGAAATGCTTGAAAATCGATTACATCTTTGTCGCGTCTTGGACATGGCTTGCACACCGTGTCGCAGAATCTACCTAGAAATGTCTGAAAATCAGGCTGCATCCCTGCACCAACCCTGAACCGTCTCGGACACTACCTACACATCGTGTCCAAGAAATTGTGTAGAAGTACGTGAAAATCAGGATGTATCCCTGTAGCAACCTAGACATGGCCTGCACATCGTGTCCCAAAAATTGCCTAGAAATGCTTGGAAACCAGGCTGCATCCCTGTCGTGGCCCAGACGCATCCCGAACATTGCTTGCACACCGTGTTCCAGAAACTGCCAAAAAATACTAGAAACTTAGGAAACGTCCCTGTCGCATCCTGGAGATAACCTGCACATTGTGACCCAGAAACTGCAAAAAAATGCCTAAAAATCAGTCTCCTTCCTTGTCGTGGCCATGACACATCCCGGACATGGCCAGCACATCAAGTCCCAAAAATTGTCAAGAAATGCCAGAAAATCAGGCTGCGTCTCTACCGCAGCCAGAACGCGTCCCGGACATGGCCTGCACACCGTACCTAGAAATTGCCTACAAATGCTTGAAAATCAGGCTGTACCCCCTATCGCGGTAAGGAGGCATCCTGGACGTGGTCTGTACACAGTGCCCAAAAACTTCCCAAAAATGACTAAAAATTAGGTCGCGTCCCTGCTGTGGCATGGACGCATCCCCATCATGGCCTGCACACCGTGTCGTAGAAACTACCTAGAAATGCCTGAAAACGAAGCTCCATCCCTTACGCTCCTGGACACAGCCTTTACACTATGTCCTAGAAACTGCCTAAAAATGCTTGGAAATCAGGTTGCATACCTGTCGCGGGCCTGACGCGTCCAAGACAATGCCTGCACACCGTGCCCTAGAAAACTGCGTAGAAATACATGAAAATAAAGATATGTCCCTGTGGCATCCTGGACATGGCTTGCATACTGTGACCCAGAAATTGCCTATATATGAGTGAAAATCAGGCTGTCCCTGTCGCGATAGGACGCGTCCGGGACATGGGCTACACACAATGCCCAAAAGCTGCCCATAAATGCCTGAAAATCAAGCAGTGTCCCTACCTTGGCCATGTCGCTTCCCGAACATAGCCTACACATCGAGTCCTAGAAATTGCCTAGAAATGCCTAAAAATTAGGCTGCATCCCTACCGCAGCCAGGACGCATCCCAGACACGGCATGCACACTTTGCCCAAAAATTGCCATGAAATACCTGAAAGTCAGGCTATGTCCTTGCTGCAGCCAAGATGCATCCCTGACATGTCATACACATCATGCTTAGAAGTGCCTAAAAATCAGGCTACGTTCATGCCATGTTTCGGACATGGCCCGTACAACGTGTCCCAAAAACTGCCTAGAAATGTTTGAAAATCAGGTTGGGTGCCTGCCGCAACCTGGACATGGCCTGCACACCGTGTCCCGTGAACTTCCTAGAAATGCCTGGAAATTAGGCTACGGCAGGTGTATCCCTAACAGGGCCTACATATCGCTTCCCAAAAACTGCCTAGAAATACAAGAAAATCAGGCGGCGTCCCGACCATATCCTAGACATTGCCTGCACAATGTGCCCTAAAAACTGTCTAGACATGCTTAGAAATCAATTTGCATTCCTACCGTGATCAGGACGCGTTCCGGACATGGCCTGTACACTGTGCCCAAAAACTGCCCTGAAATGCCTAAAAATCAGGCTCCATCCCCGCCATGGCTCAAACGCATCCTGGACATGGCCTGCACATCGTGACCCAGAAACTACCTTGAAATACTTGAATATAAGGCTGCGTCCAGGACATGGCCTGCACACGGTACCCAGAAACTGTTGAAAAATGCCTAAAAATCGGGCTGCGTCCCTGTCGTGACCATGAATTATTCAGAATATGGCCTACACACCCTGTCCCAGAAACTGCCCAAAATACTTGGGAATGTGCCTATGCCCCTGACATGGCTTGCAGACCGTGCTCCTTCATTTTGTTGAAAATTTGCTTGCGTCCCTAACGTGGTCGGGATGAGTCCTAAACATTGCCTGCATACCATGCCCACAAACTGCCTAAAAATAGTTGAAAATA